CCCCACACACACACACACACACACACACACACACACACACACACAGTGCCCAGCCAGTGTGGGGCGATGGAGAGAAGTGTGGCCCTGCTGAGGTGCAGGGAGGGCAGCTCTCATCACATCTCTAGCTTCTGGGAAATGCTGTGGGTCAGAGAGGAGGGAGTAGTGGGTAAGTGGGGGCCGAGGCCAGACGGGAAATAGCCTCAGAGAGGAGAAAGGCCTCTGATGGCTGGGGGTGTGGGAGGGAAGGACTCGAGGGGCCTCTGCCCTTGCCCTGGCCCTCCCCCAGCCTCCTGCAGGTGTCCGAGGCAGCGGGGGCCCTGCGGGCAGGGGCATGACCCTTACAGCAATGGTGGCTGGCCCTGTCACAGCTAATGACCCTGACGGCCCAGGCTCCAGAGAGGGGAGGGAGTGGTGCTTAGAGGGAGGGAAGGTGGAGGATGCTTATGTGTGTGTGTCTGTCTCTGTCTGTCCGGGTGTCGGTGTGAGACCCTCACCCACCCCCACCCCTCCCCCAGCCTACAGGACCGTGTGCAGCGTCAATGGGCCCCTGGTGGTGCTGGACCAGGTCAAGGTAAGACTTCTGTCTCTTCCCAGGCACCACGGCTAAATCCCAATGCTCCCGGCCCCTGTACTGATCTCTTCTAAATTCCCCTGCCCCTCGGTGGCCCCCATGCTCCCACCCCCTTCTTCCAAATCCCCAGACACCCACCTCCACATTCTCCCTCCCTGGCCACCCGAGGTTTTCTCTTCCCGCCTTTCCTGTGGGCCCCGCTGTGGGCCTTAACAGACCTGCTCCTACCAGCAATGAACAGGGGCATTGCAGCTATTGTGCTTCTTTCTTCATCAGTAGAATGGCTGTGCCTAACTTCCCTGGAAGGCAGGACTCTCCCACCTGCCTCCCATTGCGGAGCACAGGCTCCAGACGCACAGGCTTAGCGGCCATGGCTCACGGGCCCAGCCGCTCCGCGGCATGTGGGATCTTCCCAGACAGGGGCATGAACCCGTGTCCCCTGCATCGGCAGGTGGACGCGCAACCACTGTGCCACCAGGGAAGCCCTCCTCATCCATTAAATGACAATAGGGGACTTCCTTGGTCGTCCAGTGGTTAAGACTCTGCATTTCCACTGCAGGGGGCATGGGTTTGATCCCTGGTTGGGAAACTAAGATCCCGTATGCCCTGCAGCAAGGTCAAAAAAAAAAAAAAATGACAATAGGATTGTTGTGAGAATCAAATCAGATAAATGTATTGTTATTATTCCTCCTTGAGAACAGCTAGTGAGAGCCCTGCCTGGAATGCGGAAATGCTAATATGCCTGATTAAATAAACAGTTGGTGAATCTCCTGCCCCTTTGCCCACCTCTGCCAGTCTATATAGGACTCTGTATGGAGAGTCAGTACCTATGCAGACATCCATTTTCCAGCTGTAATGTGGGGCTGGACTAGGAAACTGGAGATAGATTCCCAGGCTATGGTTCTGTGATTACTGGACACATCAGTAACTCGTGTAGAACAGAGTAACTGGGTGAGGGAGACACCCAGAAAATCCTGGGCTTGCAGAGGGAAGGAAAGGAATCAGAAGTTGACAGTCTCATAAGTGCAGGAGATGGAGAAGGCACCTTTATGCACCCCTGTCCACTGTCCCACATGCCTTGTTCTAGAGTTGCTTGGGCAAAAATGCCACAATTCTGTCTCTGTAGCGCCACCTTCTGCCCGAATTGAATCACACAGGCAATAACGCTTTCTGCTTCTATCCTTCTCAAATGGAAAAATATTTGGGGGAAGAATTTTGCATAGATCCAAAGTTCTTAGACAGGTAATCAGGGCCTTGAAATTGTATGAAAACCTCTTAAGGTAGCAGCCTGGGTTGAGGCCCAATAATGTGCATTCCTGACAAGCTCCCGGTGGCTAATGCTGCCGGAGGGCCGGATCACCCTCGGAACCGCTGTTCTAGAGGATCTTCCGCCTGCTATATTCTGTGATTCAAACCGGCCGTTGTTGGAGATTCACATTACCCACCAGACTAGGTTCCAAATGTCTGTGGCTGCTCCCAAACTCTTCAGGGAAAAAGTTTTCAAAAGTGTGTGCAGGGTGTCCTTGGTGGCGCAGTGGTTGAGAGTCCGCCTGCCGATGCAGGGGACATGGGTTCGTGCCCCGGTCCGGGAAGATCCCACATGCCGCGGAGCGGCTGGGCCCGTGAGCCATGGCCGCTGAGCCTGCGCGTCCGGAGCCTGTGCTCCGCAACGGGAGAGGCCACAACAGTGAGAGGCCCGCGTACCGCAAAAAAAGAAAGAAAGAAAGAAAGAAAAGTGTGTGCATCAGCTCCAAAAACAATTTCCAGAGGAGTTCCCAAACTGCCCTGGGCGTTGTCATGGGGAGAAGCCTTGGAGGCAGCAGGCCCTGTCCAAGTCCTGCCAGGCTTGCTAAGAACTTCCCAGGCTCCTGAGTGGATGCGACAGCACCCCTATGCCTGACCCCTGGCTGGTTGGGAACTCGGTTGAATCTCCAGCAGAGGAGGTGGGCTGCACTGAATCATCCACACTCCCTGCAATTCTCTTAGTAACCAACAATGAGAGCTGAGAGAATCAGGTCTGCGGCTGGGAAACGGGGTATAAATAAAAGCTCACTGCTGCACATTGGAATTCTCCCGCTGCACACACTGCTCTAAGTGGCTAAACCCACCCTTCCCCCCAAACAAATAACTGGCATTCTCTTCCTGAGGATTCCAGATAACACCCTCCATGCTTGGGCGCCATGGTTCTGAGAGTTCTTCCTCCTAACTGGCTGTAACCTCTCTGCTGCTTAAAGTTCACTTTCTGTGATGTTTCGTCTTTCGGGGACACACAGTGTGCCACGTCTCCTCCCCTCTCCATCACCCACACAAACCCACATAACAACGATCGCTTTTTTTTTAAGGTAAAAGAGAATTTTTAAAAAATATTTATTTTGAATGTGCCGGGTCTTAGTTGCGGCATGTGGGATCTTTAGTTGCGGCACGCGTGTAGGATCTAGTTCCCAGAGCGTGGAGTCTTACCCACTGGACCACCAGGGAAGTTCCCAAAGGATCGGTTTTTATCAGCCTGCTGCCTGTTTTTCATTGGGCCCACTGCCTAATTGCTTTGGGGCCCGCTCAGGCCGGTGTTCTGTCAAGCATTTTTCCTCCTGAGGTTAGCGGCCCACCATCTGCGCCCCAGACAATGAGGCCAGTGGCCATTTCAGAGAGAGAGACACACAGGCCCACAGAGACCGGAAGAAGGGTTGGAGCCAGGACTTGTATTTAACTTGTTTCCCGGGGCCTCGCAGTCCTTGCTCTTGGGCTCCCTCTTGTGGTTATGAAGCCAAAGGCTGTCCGGCATCAGCCCCTCCGCGGACCTCAGCACTCCTCTTGGGGCGAGCCCCCTCCCTCAGTGACCCCATTCCGCGGGGTCTGACGGTGGTTTGGGAGGGAACAAGATCGCCTTCCTGGCACCCCCAAGCCAGAGCTTCTCTCAGTGACTGTCAGAGCTGGGAATCCTCCTGTCTCAGGTTCAACCTCCGGTCGCAGGGAGCCCTGGGGGGAGGACCCCACCCTACTCACACCGCTTAGGAGAATTGAGCCATCCACCCCTCTTCCCTGGCCCTGAAGGTCACTGGTATGTGGACAGCAGGGGATATAATGATAGTCGTGATGGTGACAACGACCTCACTGTACTTGAACATGTTCCCCTACTCCCCCCCGCCCTTTTTTTTTGGCCGCACGGCGCTGCTTGCCGGATCTTAGTTCCCCGCCAGGCATGGAACCCCGGCCCGCTGCAGAGAGAGCTCGGAGTCTTAACCCCTGGACCGCCAGGGAATTCCCCCCCCCCATTTTTATTTTTACATTTTAATTACACGCACACACAAAACATGCTTTTTGTAACTAGTGAAATAAAAGACACAAAGTTAACGATTTGCCCCTAACCTCTTTATTCCCAACCTCGTGTGACAACCAGTGTAAATGTATATGGGCAGATATAAGCAAGTTAGATGTTTACGTTGGTGTTTGTTAGTCTCTTCAAATGTATCGAGTGTTTGCTCCATGTCAGTAGATACACATTTTACTCATTCTTTTTGATAGCGACTATGGTTTGGACATACCGTGGTATGGATGTACTGTGATGTATTCCATTTTTCATAGACAATCAGCATGTTTCCAGGTTTTGCTATTACAAATAGTATAGCAATATATATCCCTTTTATACTGGTGCCCTTATTGCTACAGGTTAGATTCCCCCAAAATGGAATTGCTGGTTCAAAGTTTTTATTTATTTTTAAATAGATATTGACAATTTGGAGCAGAATTGCTTGCCCAGCAAGGTTGTGGTAATTCATATTCCAACCAGCCATGCATGAGAGGACCCACTTCCCAGCATCCTTGCCATCACTAAATATGTGCTCTCCAGTAATTTTGCCTAATGTTTAAGACTAGTCCTATCTTGCTTTTATTTGCATTTCCCTGATGACTAGCGGAGCTGAGTATCTTTTTATCTGTTGAGATTGCACTTCCTCCTCTGTGACCTTTTCCTACACATTGAGTTGTACATTTTACTTTGTTTATTGTTCACCTTTGTTTATGGTATCTTTGCCATACAGAAATTTCAAATATTTATATTATCAAAGATTTCTATTTTTTTGTTTATGGCTTCTGGATTTCTTATCTTGCTTAAAGATGTCTCTCTTATCCAGCTTTTAACTGGATTATTCCATAAAAAAGGAAAGAAGAAAAGCTTCTGGTATTTTGTTTTAGTTTTATATTTAAATTTTTTTTTTTTTTTTTTTTTTTTTTGGTACGCGGGCGTCCCACTGTTGTGGCCTCTCCCGTTGCAGAACACAGGCTCCAGACATGCAGGCTCAGCGGCCATGGCTCACGGGCCTAGCCGCTCCGCGGCATGTGGGATCCTCCCGGACTGGGGCACGAACCCGCGTCCCCTGCATCGGAAGGCGGACTCCCAACCACTGCGCCACCAGGGAAGCCCTATATTTAAAATTTTATATGCCTGGAATGCATTTGTGTTTATGATAGGGATAGATAACCAGTGTATTAGCACCATTTGTACAATAAATTCTTTTTCCCTATGAATTTATATGCCACATTTGTTCTCTAATAGTCTCCTAAAATTTGGGCTCTGTTTCTGGACTCTAGCCTTCCAACATCTCCGTTCATCTGCCGCACGCCAACACTGACCACTTGACCTCAGTAGCTTTAGAGCACGTTTCAATATCTGACAAGGCAAGTCCTCCACCCCTGATCTTTTCCATAACTGTTTTCGGATATTCTCAGACATTTACATGAATTTTAAGATCATTTTATCAAGTTCCAGGAGAAACAATCCATTGGGAAAGCATTGAATTTATATATTTTTGAAAAGGATTTATATTTTTGTGATAGTAAGTCATTCTGTCTTGGAAAGCACTAGTGCTCTCCATTTGTTCAGGGCTTGTTTTCTGTCCTTCAGTAAGATTTTATTATTTTCTTGTACCTTTCTTGTTAAATTTATTTCCAGATATTTTATGGGTTTTGGCCCTATTGTGGATGAAATATTTTTCTCCATTTCC